AATTTTTCGTTCCCGTTCGATTATAATATAATAATTATTATTATTATTATTCTTTTTCTTTCAGACTTTGATGGAATCATCTGAAAAAAAAGATGATGTTTTATCGAATAAAAACATAACCCATGATTTATCATTGTTGGATTGCATATTCAAATACGAAGATAGCACGATTCAAGCGTATAAAATGACCGGATATAATTTACACAATTGCATAAGATTGGCACAGATAGAAACAGAAACGACTTATTTGGACGTCGTTAAAAATTTCGAACATATAAAAAATATTTCTTTGGAAATGCACGAATATTATTTGAACAAAGTTGATAATTGTTTGGATAAATCTTGCGTTATTGCATCTCTCATTCAATCCGTTGTTCATTATGAAAAATTACAAGAAGACATTTCAACGAACGTAACGGAAATCAATGGTATCAATACGAAATATCTTTTGGCTCACATAGCTTTGGGATGCGTGTCGAATTCTGTCGTTCAATTGGAAGAAAATTATAAAATAGGAAAAGGATTAATTAACGATTGTTTTAAAAATTCAACACAATCAAAAATGGATAATGATAACGAAATGCTCATGGCCGAAGAATGATGAAGAGTGATGATGAGTTTGTTTGCTTTAAAAATTCACTCACTATGTTAGTCGAATGATGAAATTTGTAATATCCATATTTTTGTTCCCTTAATTTTTTCTGTAATTTTTCTTGTACTGATGAGTAAAAATTTTCTTTTTTCGAATTAATTATACACATTCCTTCAAACCTGAAAAATTTCAATGATGAATAATGCATTTGTGCACAGACAGCAAAACGAAAAAAAATCATTAATAATAATAATTGTAAGTTGTACCTTGCTGTAAAATCTTGTCGATTTGTACCGATCCTGATATAATGAGGACCTGAGTAATGACCTGTTTTAGTTAAATTTTTATTATCCCAATTTTCATATATTTTTTTTTGATACAGTTTTTCTTTTACAAACAAACTGTGTGGATGTGGATAATATTCGTTATCATCAGAACATGTAACTAATGTGACTCTATAATCCACAAAAAAAAAATATAAGAAAATTAAATTTTTTGAAATTTTTATAAAAAAATTTAAAATGATACCTTATCAAAGCTTCGTGTGGATAATTTAATAACTGTACAGTTGGTGCACTTTTATCTCTTCCTGTTCTTATACCCTGTAAAGATCCATGTGTACCTGACATTTCGGTATCATACCTATATCTAAATCTATTTTCTGGAGGTATTGTTAAAATTAAGCAAGCTGTCAAAAAAAAAAAAAAAAAAAAACCTTTTTTCAAACATGTTTAAACATTCGATCACTTTTCAACCTTTTCGATTTAATTACCACTGACCTTCGTTATTATTATTATACATTTTATAGTTTTCTTTATTTGCCTTGTATTCAGATTCTGATAATATATTAGATGAATTTAAATCATGAAATTTTTCTCTCGGATCCCAATATTGTAACGAGTTTGATTGATAATCCTCGACAAAGTCAGACATTTTGTAATTTTAAACTGAAAAATAAACTGCATTATAATGTGAATATACATGCATTATAATGTTTAAGTTAATAACTAAACTAATCAAAAAATTACATCTGGAATTTATAAAATTCAATAATTCAAAAGCCATTTAGCAAAGGCTAAATTATTTATAACAGAAAAATTAATTTAAAATAATAAAATAATTTTCAAACTCGTAAAAAAAAAATTAACATACAAACTTTTTATATTTTCAAGGTGAGCACAAAAAAAAAAAAAAAAATAATTGTTTAAATTAAATTTATGACAGTAAAAATACAATTTTTAATATTGTCACATTTGTGTTCGTGAATACTATTTGTTTGACGTGATTATTAAAATATCAATTCGTTGTTTTAAACGTTTCCTTTTGTGAACTCGATAAATTTAATAAAATTCATCACTTACTCGAGTAATAATTTCTAAGGCTTGGTTACTTAGAATATTTAACATTCTGGTAATTTCTATTTGGTATTCCCCTGAAATCAAGCAGCTGACGTATGGTATATTAATTAATGTAATAAGGATATATATTATGAAAAATGGCGCGCAAAAAATTAAACTTTTCTAGAAAGCACATAAGCTCTTGTGACACTTTTAAAATTTGTACCATGACTTGTGTAAGCTTAAATGTGTACCACGTGACTTTGAAGCTGGGTACGCGGTTCAACCGTTAAAAAAAATTAATGGCGAAAGAAAAGTACTCGTTTATGTAAATTTTAAAATGTGTTTCATTTTTTTTTTAATATTTGGTTCTTGATATAATTAATTTCTAATCCAGATAAAGTAAAAATTATTCGTTCGGAATAAAAATTTTAGGAATAAACTTTTAGAAAACTTTTGGAATAATTATGACGCCATTGCCAAATTCGAAAATGGAAACTTTTTAACTGAAAAATTCAATTAAGGTATTTAGTTCAAAAAAAAAAAAAATTTTTAATTTAGATTTAAACTCAGCTATGACAATTTTTTTTTTAATTCTAAATGTTTTACAAGGTGATTTGGTCGATAATTTTATCGTTAAGTGCAATATAAGTTTTAAAATTATTTAAAAAAAAAAAAAAAAAAATTTTTTTCATGGTGCAAGGATTTTTTTAAAAAATAAAAAAAATTCATTTTTCATTTACAAACAAAAAAAAAAAAAAATATTTATTAAAGCTTAAATTTCAAAAAAAAGCTTACAAAAAAAAATTATCTATCGGCAACGAAAATTTCATATCAAATAAATAGAATAAATAAAAAAAAAAAAAAAGTACAAATAAATTTGCTTAAAATAAAAATTATGATTAAAATATTAATAATATTACATTAGAGAGATTAGTAGAGCAAACAAAAAAAAAAAAAAAAAAAAAAATGAATTAAAACAAATTTTACTTACGTAATAATAATTAAAGTTCAATAAATTACACTATCATTATTAATATTATTATTAATAAAACAAAAATCTAAAAAGGATAATTTTTAAAATATTCAGACTTTTAAACTAATAAGGGTTATATATAATAATTTTCTCTCTTTTTCTATTTAAAGTTTTTTTTATAGTAATAGATTTAACTTATTAGTTGATAATTTAAAAAAAAAAATTGTAAATGTATTGTTAACAACATTTGGCACTGATGTGGACTTAAATTTAACAAGCCTCAATCAAATAAAATATCAATTTAGTAATCGAACAAGTTAATTTTATAAAAAACTAAACTTTTATATCGAATAAGTTGCATCATCTGTCAAAACTTTTTAAAATTTATTTATGATTTGAATAGGCAAGCTTTCATTGGCTTTCGAATATAACTTTTTGAATTTACACATCATTCGATATCATCAGCATCATTCGGTTTAATAAGTTAATTTTTATTAAAACTGTATGTCTTTCATACAATTAAACTTAAATCAAGTTAAAAAATAATATCAAAACATAATTACTTTAAAAACAAAAACAAAATTTTTATATATATTGTGTATAAATTGAAGAAAAAAAATACGTTTCTTTATTATGAAATAAATAAACGTAAAGTATAATTTTTAATGTTTTCATTAATTAATTAATTATTAACAATGTAATTACAAAATATTATTTAGTAAAAAAAAACTGAAAAAATGTTTCAACATTTCACAACATAATTTTTTTTAAAAATTAACGTTAACATTAACATTACCCTAGAAAAAATATATATTATTATGTATTATATATATATTTAAAATATTATATTGTTAACATAAAAACAAACATAAACAATTGATGATGATTGAATTTAAGAAAAAGAAAAAAAAAAACAAATTTTTTTAAATAAAAAATAATTCAATCATCTTTTTTATCACCCTCAGAACCGTGATGTAATTTTTTTTGCAATTTATTAAATTCTTCGCTTAACCTGTCATATTCAGCATTTGTCGATTCTGCTTGTTTCCTAACAGTTTCTTTATCTAATTTTTCAGCTTCTAATTCTTTTTTCAATTTACTGATTTCCAATTTTAATCCTTTTACTTCTTCATCGTGTGCTTCGTTCGAATGATTTTGAGCATCTTCACCTAATAATAATTTAATTTAATTTTTATTTAATAATTATAATTTTTTTTCTTTTTTCTTTTTTCCAGAAAATTTTATGAGACAAACCTATTTGATTTAGTAAACTTTTTGCACTGGATGAAGCATTGGCAGCTTGTTTTAATGCAGCTTCGCTTTGTGCCTGCATTACGGCCAAATTCGATATGAGATGACATAAACGTCTAATGACCAAACTTAAAAATAATGCAAATCCGGAAATGTAAAAATTACGTTGGGCTCTAAATTTTTTCATGTTCATCTGAAATAACAATGAATGTGATGTACTTTTAAGGTAAGTTTTTTATTTATTTATTTAATATTTGCTGAAATGCATTAAAAAAAATATTAGGCGATAAACTCGATAGGAATGATATCAAAGCCTGAATTGTTTACATATGAAACATTCTTTTCAATGAATAAAATTAATTAAGGGTCAAAGACTACCTTCGATTGTGAAAATCATTCTAAGACCATTTTACTTGTAACTTTCTAAAAAAAAAGTGTGTAAATACATTGTCCCATGAAGTTTTTGGTTATTTTTATACATTTTAAGCAAAATAATGCAATTTTAAACAAGTTATATCAAGTTAAAGCTACAGATATAAATCTGCCTTGGAAAGATATTGAGGTATATAAATTTGATGGTATGTTATTTAAAAAGGGGGGGTGTGGGGGGAAGGGAAAAGATACTCACTTGCATTTCAGCATCGAGGTGACTATGAGTTTGAGATTTATCACCACTTTCCGAATTAGAATATTTCATCATGTCTTTTAAGGCATCCATTAAAAATATAACTAAAATAATTAATAGTACGTAGAAATAAAAGGAAGCTTGCGCGCCCAATGCATTTAAAAATCTAGATCTAAAAATTCTTTGCCATTTTTTTGGACTTGCAACCGGTAATACGAGGAGCAAAACGACAGCAACTTCGAAATAAAGAAATCCAGCTATAAGAGTCCACTGAATAGACATTACGAACTTTTTCTTTTTTTATTATTTACTATTTAAAAAATGTGAAATGAAACCAAAAAAAAAAAAGTTTTTATTAAAATTCTGCAACCTGCAAAAGCCTCTAAAAAATTAATCCGCTAAATGTGAATTCACAATAAAATGACGAAAAGAAATACAGGCGTAATAAAATAATGACTCATAACTTATAATGAGCAAACTCAAAGGGCACAATTACCAACTTATGAAAAAAAAAAAAAATTTCATATATTAAACGTACTTTGAATATTCAAAAACTTTATGAAAGTTCTTTTTTTGAAAAATGTTCGTTAAAAAATCATCATACTTCCGGTATAAAACAAACCGGATGTGATAAAATAAAAGTGTACGTTTAGCGCATTAATTATTTAATATTTTTAAATATAAAATTACAATAAAAAAATTCATTTTTTTTTTTTAAATACTGAACTAACTAGTTTTTAAAAGAGTCGGAATCTTTTAGCTTCGATTCTTGTTCTGGAATGTATAACATTGCATCTAAAAATATCCTCGCAAAATCTCCAACTACTGTTCTATCAGGTAAATTTGCAGAAGTTCCATACATGGCCATCTTTATTAAAAAAAAAAAGATTAAATTTCATCATGATATTGTAAAATTATGACTTGTTAAACTTAATCATACCTTTCCTTTAACTTCCTCATCTGGATTTTTCATAATAACGGCCACTTCTCTTTTGACATCTTCAATAAAACTTTCGGCGACTCCTTTTCTAGTGTGCAAATTCGTTACGCACAAATGTATGCTAATAATAATAATAATAATAATTTAAAAGAAAAATTTTTTGCTTTTCAACTTAAACTAATAGCAAATATAAAATTAAGTTTTTTTTTGTTTCCAGCTCACCCAGGAGGATATTGAAGTGGATTGAGATTCCAGCCACATTTAGATAAAGCATCAGAAAGTCTGTATATATGAAATGTATTTGAACCAATGGCAACAACTGAAGTAATGGGAGAACCAAAAACAAATATTTCATCAATTTCTTTCAATCTATCAAACAACACAAAGTAATTATTTATTGTTTAAATGTTTAAAAAAAATTCATTTCGAAACATCCACTGACTTATTCTCAATGTATTTCGTTGTACTAATTATGGCTTTTGTTGTTTCTACGTAACCAGAAAATCCAAAGTGCATTAATGTAGCCCAGCAAGCTGCAATTATGCCACCAGCTCTTGAACCACTCACTGTCGGTGAACCATAGACTCCTCCAGTCCAATCGGTTGTCACTGTGTATTGATGGTGAAGATAACTTTTACTTTTGTACAATACGACAGATGATCCTTTTGGAGCACAACCATACTATAATTAAACTTTTTTTTAGATTCAAATACACTTAAATCAAGGGGATGAAATTGGCCTTACCTTGTGTGTATCTGCTGAAATGCTTGTAACTCCTTCAACTCTAAAATCAAAAGGAGGAATGTGGTATCCTGCAGATTCCATAAATGGTATGATAAAACCTCCCAAACAAGCATCCACATGAACGGGAATGTTATATTTTAAACCGAGGGCAGCTATTCCTTCAATGTCATCCATCGTTCCATATGGATAATTCGGGACGGAACCCACAAGCTAATAATGTAAGTCAATAAATTTTCATGGACTAACAATAAGTTAAAAAAAAAAAAAAAAATGCACACAATTTACCATGCAAGTATTTTGTGTAATGGCTTTTTTCATCGCATTCAAATTAACTTTAGTAGTTTTCGAATCGATTTCAACGTGAATTATTTTAATTTTTAAATATTGTGCTGCTTTATCGAATGCAGGATGAGCTGTGGTTGCAACTATCATGTTAGGATATTTAATACCCCTTTCGAAAAAAGCATAATCCCTATAAGCCTTGACAGCCATTATAATACTTTCAGTTCCACCAGTGGTCATCTGAAAAAACATGAAAATTAAATTTTAATTTTCTCCCTAAACGAGTAAAAAAAAAAAATTTAATTAAAATATTTCTTTTCTATTAACTTCTCCATACAGTGCCACATGATTCAGGTCCCCCATTAAATAAATTTGCTGTTATTCTAACAACTTCTGCTTCCATTTTACATATTCCAGAAAATACTTCAGGGTGTAAAGGATTCGTATATGATGTTTTCCCATAAATTTGAGTTATAAGTTCGACTAATTGATTATTATAATAATAAACCGTTCCTGATACTTTTCCATTTTCCCATTTATATTCACCTGTAAGAAGAAATTTGGTAAATTTAACTGAATTTCCAATTGAAAAAAATCCCTTTTCACTTACCACTATTCAAATACACATCGGTGAGTTTTAAAATGTCTTCACTCGACATTCCATTTTGTGGTAATTCAAGAATATAATTGTTTCCTTTATTTCTTTTTTTAACATCGCTCACAAATTCATTCTCAATTTTTTTCAATTCTTTATCAATTTTATTTTTAACTGATGGAATTTTTTTAATGAGTTTAAAAAATAATTTTTTACCACTATCGACCAAATCTACAAAAAACAAAAACTCGATAAAATGTCTGCCATTGCAAGTTTTTTTCATAATCCACAAACAAAACGACAAATTTTAAATAATTACTTATTTCTTTTGAAATACAATCGTGAATCCATGTTAGAGTAAATACAGTAGATGCAGTTATAACCACAACTTGCCATGGTTCTTTTTCTTTAAAATATTCATTTATAAATCCTTTAATTCCACATATTTGAGTTTTAACAAAAGCCATCAGCTCACTGCATAAACCAAAAAAAAAAAAAAAAGAAAAAAAAGGTAACGACTAATTAAAAATTGTAACCTTATAATTATTTTCAAAAAATGATCATAAAAATAATTATCTCTGATAACAAGTGATAAGACTACTTAAAAATTTTTTATTTTATCAATCAATAATTAAAATCAAATAAAAATTTATGAAATAACAACATAAAGAAAAATTTTATTAACAAAAAAAAAAAAAAAAGGATAAAACCATACATAGATGACCATCGTTACAATTAAGGTTATGATTAATAAAAAAAGACATAAAATTAATAATAATTGCTCTCTCTGTTTTTATGTACATTAATAATTTTACAAACGTATAGTAATTATTATTTCATAAATCGTTAAATAAGAATCTTTCTTTTTTTTTTTTTTTAATAAATAATTTTAATAAATGTGATAAAATAACAAAACAAACCTTGAATCAAACTTGAATTCAAAAAAAATTATTAATGTTGACGCAGAAAAAAATAGTTAATAATAATAATAATGATAAAAAAAAAAAGAAAATTTTTATTAAATAATTAACAAATAATGTTTAAATGAAAACTAACGTAGCGATACTAATACAAAAAAAAAAAAAAAAAAAAAAAAATTTAAAGATTGTTTGTTGTCTTTCCTTTGTCGATAAATCGTCGACAAACATTAATGACGTCACGTATAAAAACAATCATTTGATATCGTCCGATCGATCATAATATGAAGAAGGAGAAGTACGAGGTTTCATTATTATTTTTTTTTTTTTACCTACTCTTCTCCGAATAACCTTTTGACCTTTGTTAAAAAAAAAAAATTGTTATTAAAATTTTATCGTTTCAGGTATCAATTCGGGTAGGTCGTCGGCGAATGGAATGCATAAAAGAAAAACTTTGTTGGAAAAGTGAAAATTTTCCGGATATTCTAAATATGTCTCGGAGTGGAAAATTATCCAAAAAGGTATTTAAAATTTTTTTTTTTTTTAACGAGACGAATGAAAAATTATGTCTTCTTTCATTTCCCCCCCTTCCCCCCCCATCCCCCCACTTTACCCCCGCTTTTTTTTTTTTCATTTTGCCAAAAAAAAAAAAAAAGGAAGAAAAATATGGTGATTTGTTTTTTTCCGTGCCTCATTCTTAGAAAATGAGAATAAAAAAAAAAAAAACCCAGGGATGGTTTCGGGTTAGAGGAAGGGGGTTAAAAGGGGAGCGTAAAGGAAAATGGGAAAAAGAGGAAAAAAAAAAAAAAAAAAAAAAAGATGATGGTGCCCGAAAAAAAGGGTTGAGAGCAGAGTTCCCGCGACGTTTTTAAGCCTCAAGGATTAATGTTGAGTTTCTAGAATATAATGAGATTATTCAATACAATCAAAACCAAAATATTTTAAAGACTGTTTTCTTCTTCTTCTTCCTTTTTTTTTATTTTATTTTATTTTTCCCTTCGTTTTTCTTTTTAACTCGTTTTTCTTTTCCAATTTTTTCCTTTTTTTTAAGGTTTTTCATATCGTCTTTTTAAAATCGTTTATAATTGCCGCACAAATTAATTTTCCGCATAGATTTCGTAATTTAGTTGTTTTTTTCTTTCTCTCACACCCCTTCACCTTAAATTACCCCCCCCCCGCCGCCACACATACACACACACACGCTTTGAAACAAACAATAAGTAATTTGATTTTATAATTAATTATTTTAAAAGGAAATAATTTCAATTAACAAAGGAAACAAAGGAAAATCATGTAAACGTTTAATCATGCAGACGAAAAACTTTTTTCTTTTTTTTTTTTGCAAATACCTTTGGCTAAAGAAAAATTTAAACAAAAGGTTTTTTTTTTAACATTTGACGTGTAATATTAATTTTTCACTTCATTATTTATAATAATAATAATAATAATAATAATAATAATAAAACAACGGCCATACCGTGCTGGTCACACCGGTTCCCGTACGATCACCGAAGTTAAGCAGCATTGGGCGTGGTGCAAACTTGGATGGGTGACCGTTTGAGAACGCCACGTGCCGTTGGCTTAAAAAGAGCAAAAAAAAAAAAAATGAGAACAAGACAAAGTAAGAACCAAAAACAAAATCTTATTCTACTGTCGACCTGAGGCAGCTCGACGAGAATGTGAATTTCACTGCTTCTGATCCTGGCCACTCCAAAGATGTTAGTCACTGGAGCCCAGTTCAGGAGACAAATCGTTCCCATCGAATAAAGATGGACTCAGGAAGACCTTCAAGAATTGATGTGGTGCTATCTTATAATAAGTGGCACCACCGAAATTCGAGTATTTGTCCCTAAGGAATCGGGTAGAAACCTCGGATAAATACTTAAAAACCCCGACAAGTAGCCTTGTCGTGTTTAATGGTGGACAATAATAATAATAATAATAATTGCAAAACGACAAGTAAATAGAAAATTTTTCAAATATAGTAAAAATGTCGCCGGTAATTTTTTTTCTTCAATCAAGGCACTGAGTGTTCGTAAAATAATAATAATAATAATGTTAATAAAATATCTCCATTGGAGTATATGCTGAGAATATGGAATGGATGGATTACCCAAGGAGTGGTACAACCACATTCCAAGCCCGATTACGACAGTAGGTCCGTACAAGGTTCTGTATGATCAACAAATCCTTGACTGACAGAACTGTGCCAGCCAACAAACCCGATATCATCCTCAGGCATAATGCGGAAAAATGGTGCAAGTTAATTGCAGTATCCGTGCCGGCTGAAAAAAACACCAGACAGCCAAATAAGCAGACAGAAGGCTGGAATATAGAAATTTGGAAATTGAAATAACCAGAATGTGGGGAACAAAAACAGAAACGATTCCGGTCATCGTGGGAGCATTGGGAGCCATGCCACATTCAATAAAAAGAAATTTAAAGAAGATTTTGAAGAACCTAAAAGAAGAAACCATCCAGGAAATCGCACTATGTGGGACGGCCCACATTCTTCGAAAACAGCAGCACCACCGAAATTCGAGCATTTATCCCTAAGGAATAGGGTATAAACCTGGAATAAATGCTTAAAAACCCCGAAAAATAAGAGCCTTGTCGTGTTTAAGAGTGATGTTAATAATGATTTTTAAAAAATTGTTTAATGATTATTTTTGGGAGTTAACAAATACGAGAAGAACAAAAGATTCGAATTGTTTATAACAGAAATTTTCATTTAAAAAAAAAAAATAGCTAAACTTATGCACGATCGTATCGATCAAAAAAAAAAAAAAGAAAAATGTCTGAAACTAAGTAAAAAAAAAAAAAAAAAACACAAAATAAAAACAACGAGAAAAAAAAAAGAAGAAAAAAGAAAAGACAAAAAAAAAAAATTATAAAAAATGATGGAAGTATAAAATAAATGTACATAAAAATAAGAAGAAAAAAAGAGAGAGAGAGAGAGAAAAAAACCGTTCGTCCTTTTTTTTTTTTTTTTTTTTTTTAAGCACGGAAAATTGATTGGGTTTTCCTTTTTTCTGACGTTCCCATCAACCGTTCGGTTTTGTTTTTCTTTTTTTTTTTTTTTTATTTATTTTTATTTCATTCCCTTGAAGGTTTGGGGGAATTCGAAGGGGAAAAACAGACAAACGAACGAGTAAAAGGGAATCGTAGGGTTCTTATGAAGGAAATGAAAAAAAAAAAAAAAAAAAAAAGGAAGATCCCTCGAGAGAGTGAGAGAGAGAGAGAGAGAGAGACAGAGACAGAGAGAGACAGAGAGAGAACAAAAGATGAGAAAATAAAAGAAAAAAAGAAAAATAGAATTGTGTGTGTCTGTGTGTGTGTGTGTTTTGTGTCAATATTTCATTTTTCATTTTTAAAAGTCACCACGACAGACAAAAAAATATTATTATTATTATTATTATTATTATTATTATTATTATTATTATTATTATTATTATTATTATTATCATTATTATTGTTTTCATCTTTTTTTTTTTTTATTCTGAAAAAAAACATAAATAAAAAAAAATTTCCCAACTGCATTCGTATGTATTTACGAACGTACGTTTATGCGTGTGCGTATGCGTGTATGTGCGGGCGCGTGCACGTGGGATTAGAATTTTCGTAAAAAATTTCTAAAACGGGGAGGGGGGGAAACTAATAATAATAATAATAATAATAAAACTTTTATTTTAATCTTTTCGAATTTTCAAATGTTGACAGAAAAATTGACGAGTTTAATAAGTAATTAAACTTTTTAAAACAATTCAAACAATTATTATTATTATTATCATTGCGATTAATTTTTTTTTTCTTCTGCTGCTGTAAAAAATAAATTTACGTTAATTTAAAAAAGGAAAAAAGAAAAACTTAGGCATGCATTGTAAATCATAAACAAAATTAATTTTTTTTTTTTTTTTACCTTTTAACTACTTTAAAGAAAAATAATAATAATAATAATAATAATAATAATAATAATAATAATAATAATAATAATAATGATGATGATGATAATAAAACTTGTATACGAAAACGGGAACGAGATGCGAAACGGTCCAACAAAAAAAAAAGAAAAAAAAAATTTATTTTTCCGTAAGGTCATCATTATAAAACTCGTGCGTTTTTTTTTTTATTTTTAATTCTTTTCTTTTTATGAATTAACTAACTACTATCCAAGCAAATTAGACCCCGTAAAATACAACCATTTTTATGATGACGTCATCAAATCCCTCCTTCATCCCTTGTTTGGCCACGCCCTCTTATATATTTAATCCTACAAAACTACCCTTCATACAAGGGTGGACTCGGATTTATCTTATTTCTGATTCACCATCATCGAAAATACACACACACAACACACAAACGCATATACCCGCACGCACCCGCACTCACGCACGCACCATTCACGCAGGTTTTTTGTTAAAATTATGCGTGCGTTTGTGTGTGTGCGTGCGTGCGTGCGTTAAACACACACACGTTAGGCTCGTCACATAAAATTCGAATCATTTCATTTCATAAATAAAAATTTAAAGTTTTTTTTACTTTTTTTCAGG